CCGATATCGAGAACAACCAACTGATAATTCGCTAAAGCCCGTTCCATAAGTCACTGGAGAGTAGTGCCCAGACTTAGCTTTTATGTTTCTATTTTCTTTTTGATGACAAAAAAGATAATTTTCTTAAAATGACGACCATAAACAGCTTAGCCAACTATAGCCCCTACTCCAGTTACAACAAGTGTGGAGAAATATTGAAATCGCCAACTATTGGTGAAAAACAACAGTATTGCATTCTGTGTTTATTCTGTCATGAAATTTGTTTACAATTTAAAACATTCTTGGCTCACGTTGAGAAGGAGCATCACCAGGATTCGGTATTGAAAAATGAAGAGAATAATATTGATGGCAACAGGGATAATGAACATTTCAGAGCAATTCACGAATATGAAAATGAGGACAGTGTGGATGATAAGAAGGTGGGTATTTTTTACATCATTTTGAAGGTTTAATTTAATCATCTCATTTAAGGATATTCTCTTGGATCCATTGGAAGAGCCTGAAGTGGTGTTGAAAGATAATCGAAAACAAAAGGACAAGAATAAAGTTGATTCCAAACCTCAAACGAGGCAGATAACCAGTGATGCCAGGAAGAAATCAAACCAGGCAAAGAAACAGGATAAATTGATAAAACAAGAACCTGATGAGGTCGATGATACTGAAGAGGTAATAAATGTGAGTAAATGTTTTGCAATTCTTTGGAGCATCTTCTAACATATTTTTTTAATAGCCTTTTAATGCCATTGGCGACCCTGAAGAAAATACCTATACTGTTGGTGACTCAGAAGACAAAAAAGACAATTTAGTTGTGGAACCATTATCCATAAAAACTGACACATTACAAAAGCCCGTCCTTTACAATGAAGACATTGACTACGATTATGATTATGAGGAAGATGATGACGATTTCGTGCTTAATGACAATTACGATGATGAGGATTACGATTTGGACGATATAAAAGCAGGAGAAGATGATGAATTGCGACCGTCCCCAGCTAAAAAATCCAAAGTCAAGTTAGATGATGGTCTTGATATTGATGAATTTATGAACAGCAAAGAAAGTGTGGTGGCATTCATTGCGTCTTATCAAAAACAAGATGAGCTTTGGGATGCTACAAGGCCACCGAAATTAGTAAATCGATGTCGAAAGAAACGAGACGAATGCCTGAAACAGATATGTCAAGAACTCGAACAGGTGAATGTGCCCATGACAATACGTGATGCTGAAAAGTGTATAAAATATATGCGAGTGCGCTACATCAGAGATGTACGTATACGCATGAATTTCACTAAAAATAAGGATAAGGATTACAAGCCATTGTGGTTCTATGATCATTTGGAATTTCTTAAGCCAACCCTGAATTTTATACAAGAGGTAATATAAAAATACCCCTAAGCATTCCATTATAATTCTTGTATTTCTTCTTGCAGTTACAAGAAGAACAACTCTTGGCAAAACCCAAACTGACTGACGATCAAATTATTCACATAATACAAATTTATAAAAAACATTCTTGTTTGTGGAACGAACAGGATTTATTCTATTACTCGGAACAGCGAAGACAGACAACATTGCAATCGATAATTGATGAAGTGAAAAAAGAACTGCAATTAAACTCCACTATCGAGGAGATGGAAAATACAATTGAGTTTATACATAAAATTGTGAAAAAAGAAAAGGAAAAAAGTATCGACTTTTCATCGAATAAACCAACTGAGAAATACAAATCCACGAGTAAATTTTATGAACACATTCAATATCTCCTACCACATTTGGGACCATTTAAATGTCAATATTGTCCGAAAGTTTTAATGAACATTGCCACTTTTCGCATACACACAGCCAAACATGATGGATCGAAGCCTTTTAAATGTTCCATTTGTAATTATGAATTTACCCAGAAACCCGGCTATGTCATACATCTACGAAGGCACACGCAAGATTTCCCCTTTGTGTGTAAATACTGTTCCAAAGGATTTCCATGTAAAAAAGAACTGAAATTACATTTTCAAAATCATCCGGAATATGAGAAAGAATTTATATGCGACATCTGTGGTGAAGGATTTACGCAACAGAAATTATTAAACTGGCATCTGAAGGCCCACAATAACATTCGAGATTCCATTTGTAATATTTGTGGTAAAGGTTTTACCAATTCCAAGCTATTGTTTCAACATCGTACTGTGCACAGTCAGGAGAAAAGTGTTTGTAAATTGTGCGGTAAAACGTATGCCCATTATCGTGGTCTGTCGCGACACATGACAAAAGATCATGGAACAACTGTGGCAGCAGTGGCTGCTGTCATGGGCGAGAAACCCAAAAAGAGAGTACTTACTATAAATGAAATAAGTTAAGTGTGTTTGTATATATATTATAACTTTAGTTGTAATATTAACCATATTTTTTTATTTATTTAATAAAAATTATTGTAGTTTGTATAGAAATTAATTTCTTGAATATTATATAATACCATAATTTTGTAAAAAAAACCCGAGATTAAGTTCAACTGGTCGAAAATTTTTTACCCTCCATTATATGGAAGGAAAAGTAACTAAACTGAGGATGATTTCGGCGATCGATAATCAGGATTCAATTTCCAAAAAGATTTTATTGGCTCGAATAACCGATCAAAGGTTTTACACACAAATAAATTATTTAATTTACACTGGTACTAATCTTAAATACCCTGCTGAATTGCCCAAATTAACCCTTTCAGTGTCAAAAAAATTTCGTAGGAATAAAAATCTAAAATTTGGTACTTAAAATCATATAAATGCATAGAGTTTAGAAAAAAAAACAATTTTCATTTTAACCCTCGGACACTTTCGTCTGTTTTTCAGCAAAAACAAAACCATCAATGTTAACGGTACATATGATAACCGAAAAATCGCAATGAAAGAGAGAATTTTTAAATGTCGAATATATTCGACAAAAACACTGAAAGGGTTAAGTTCAAATTGAACTTAACTTAAGTTGTAGTTCTATAAAAGTTCCATCCCGAGGAGTACTGAATATTATTTGTTTGTATTTAAAATTTCATATGGGAGGGTTGTTAATTGCACACCACAAACTATTATACAAGTAATAGGCATATTTCGAAAAATGTTTATATATGGTTGCCTATTTCTTAAAATCATTATTCATCCTTTATTCGCGTTCAGAAATCATAATAAAACAGAATATTCCAATCCCGAGTTATATTACACTGTAGACATTATTTAGCCTAACCCCATGCTAATATGAAATTAAAAACAATCGATTTTGCTTAATATTATAATTTATTATCATCATCCCATCTCACTCACATTCTAAAATCTAAATGCATTTATTAATCTAACTTAAATGTAGTCAGCAACGCGGTCACCATTTTAGCAAACCAAACGATAAGAAATATAGCGACCAGCCGTTTCTGATGAACGAATAATTTTCACAACTTGACCTCTTTTAAGACCAAAATATCTAGAGACGGGATCACCAGCTTGAATTCTCATCAACATGTTCTCCTTCAATTTGTAACGAGCCAACAACTCTTGTTTTTCCTCAGGTGTCATAACCACATGTTCGGGAACCAATTCATGTTCGGTGATGTTAATCAACAATTCTGATTCCAAAAATTGTTCCAATATGTACTTGGGAGCCATATCGACCAACGATTGTTTAGCCGAAGGTGTCATGCCAGCCTGGACAACAACAATAGCTCTGTGTATATTTTCTTCCTGCATGCGTGTGCAGTAGGTTTTTATTGTCTTAATGCCGATCTTGGGCTCATCCGGGAAGAATACAAACATCTGATCGGTAGGATCATCGTTATGAGCCACCAATACAATCAGATCCGAACGTGCTGGTCGTTTCTCGCTGGGTTTGTCACCAAACATTTCCTTGAATTGTTCCAAGGTTTGATCCAATTCATCTTGTGTCACCAAATAGCCTCTGTCGTGACTCAACTGCATAATAGTTTTGCGAATACGCCATAACTTGTAGGTTTCAGCTTCATCATCCATGATTTAGTTGTTTTAAATAATAAAATACCGAAAATCACACACGAAATATCCAGAAATGCACCGCTCACAAACACGCCGTCAAGAAGTAAATGCTGAATTTTTCTTCTTCTTAAAATAATGTAATGCAATGCGAATGGTTAACACGATATTCAGCTGTCAGAAAGTGCAGGGTTACCATATGTAGACATAAACATATTCAGAAACTGATAAAACTTTCGTAATTTTAAGTAATATACGATTTTGAAGGTTCTGGAGTGGAGCAATAGCAGCCGGTAACAAGGCTACTCCTTGATTAAATACATGGCACAAAATAGTATGGAATTTATTTTACATTTTATTTGAAATATTTATTCGAGTTACTTTTAAAAAAGTGTTGCTATTATCAACTTCCAAGCATGGCATAATATTCCAAAATTATGCCATGCTTGATAGTTTCCAAGGCCTACATAAGACAAAATCATATTTTGAAACCCATATAGTCGACTCCGCTTTACTGAAATGGAAAAAAATTGGATGTTTGTTTCAGTTATCCGATGTTTACGGAGTTCGGTTAACTGAAAATAATTTCATTTATCCGAACTTCTCATAAGCTGACATTTTTTTTATACACTCCACCATAGTATGTCATTCCGTTTGTAACACATCGAAATATTCATTTCCGACCCTATAAAGTATATATATTCTTGATCAGACGATCTAGCCATGTCCATCCGTCTGTCCGTCTGTTGTAATCACGCTATCTTCCGAAGGAATTAAGATAGGGTGCTGAAATTTTGCATAGGGTTGTCTTTTGTCTGCAGGCAGGTCAAGTTCGAAGATGGGATATATCGGTCCACGTTTAGGCATAGCTCCCATATAAGGGTACCCCCCAATTTTCGGTATTTTGGGGTTCTTGAGTGCGTTTTTCAACCGAATTCGCTGAAATTTAGTACATTGTGTTCTTTTTGGGTACTAAATGTCTCCACAAAAAATTATAAATATAGGTCCACTTTTTCTGGTAGCCCCATATAACGGTACCTCCTAATTTTCAGTATTTTGGGGGATTTGGTCGTATTTTTCCACCGAATTGGCTGTAATTTAGTACTTTGAGTTCTTAATAGGTACCAAATATCTCCACAAAAAATTATGAATATAGGTCCATTTTTTCGGGTAGCCCCCATATAAGGGTTCCCCCCAATATTCGGTATTTTGGTGTTTTGAGCCCGTTTTTCAACCGAATTCGCTGCAATATGGTATTTTGTAATCGTATATGCTAACAAATCTCCCTACCAAAAATTATTTATATTCGCCCCCTTTTTGGGGTAGCCCCCATATAACCCCCTTTTTTATATTAAACTAGTTATCTAATTTGTTCCGCGTTTTGGGTTTGGTTCTAAGAGTCTGTCGTAATCATTTAACCTGCGGAGGATATCGAGATAAAGCTAGAACGTAAGGTTCGATAATGAACTATACATTAACTATAAATCGCATTTAGGCCTAGCACCTGTGTGGGAGGTATCAGAGGGAGTGGACCGATAGTATACATTTTCGAACCTGAACTAAGTTTGGAAAAATAATAAGATAGGCACAGGTTGGATGAAATCATTATTTTGTGGAACATGGTTCACATTATGGTTTACATAATCGCGTTGTAGAAATGTCGGTATAGGTCCACTTTTTGGTATTTTCCCTACATTTTCATTTCAACTACCTTTTAGTATATCTATGGTGGAGGGTATCCAAAGTTCGGCCCGGCCGAACTTAACGCTTTTTCACTTGTTAATTTTAGGAATTTCAATAATTTTGTAAAATTCCAAACGAACGAATTCGAGTGACTTATAAATATAAATGTTTATAAATGTTTTCTGATTCAAAACAAAAATAAATGACATATTTTTCAAAACCAAGGAGGTTGGTCGTAAATCACTCGAATTCGTTCATTTGGAATTTTACAAAAACAGGCTGTTTATATCGAATTCATAGGTATCGAATTTTATGAAAATAGACGATGAAAATTGAAACTGGTTGATATGGTCACTGCTTAAAGGATTTTTATTCCTTATAGATTCACATTTTTACATTGTTTTTATTTAAAATTTGGTATCATTTAGAAGGCCTTAAGAAAAACTTGGAATAGTTAAAAGTGGACGACCTCCCAAAAATGTTGTTAATTATATGGGACCTCGTTTTGAAATTTCCCCTATGAACGGTACATTCTGTAACATATTTTGGTACATCTTTGTTAGTTGTATATAATTCTATATTTTCTACGGAACGGAGTTTTTTTCGAATTTTCCAAATGGGTTTAAAAGTTTGACCGAACGAACTTAACGTTCTTCGACGTAAAATTTATATATACTTGACACACACGTTCCATACGTCGGAAAAATCATGAATTGCAGAAAAATGTATGTTAGGGTGAGCTTTGAAGATGTGTATTCCTCAATGCATAATATTCTGTCATTATCATTCATTCTCACGATTTTCAGTAATGCGGGTGATTTGAAAATAAATTGCAATATTTGACTCCAAAAGCTATTTCAGTTATAAGATATTTTCAGTTAAGCGAAGTTTCAGTTGTGCGGTGTAATTTGTGATTAACCGAAAATGTAATGGTGCAGGAAATCAATTTCACTGTACACACATAGAAACATGTTGTTGGACGTCAAAACGAAAATATTGATATTTTGTTAACATTCAATTCAATTTTAATTTATATCGTCATTGTGTAGGACATTTGGACTATTTCTAGATTTCAACCCTTTGTGTCCCGAATTTTTTTCTGTAATCACAGATTTAATGCAACTATCCAAAATATTTTATGAACAAACATGCTTGCATTCGGGAGATACAGTACATTCTTTCTGAAGAATAAAAGTCCAATATATATAAAACTAAATGCTAAATCGACGGAAAAATCGTTTTAAATTATTCTCTCTATTCTTTTTTACAAGAATCAAAAATAATTCTGATGACAGAATTTTACAATTCGAATACGAAGCGATTTAAATATTTTGGACTGTATACAAAAAATAGTACTGTACACATTTTTGCCCTCTTCTCTTTATATAGAGAAGTTCATACCTTTACCAAAAATTCGAATATTTAAAGATATTTATATTCTCCTCTTTCGCAAAAAATGGAATTTCAATTAACTACCCTATTGAGATCAATCCATAAAATTTCGCTCTGAATATCTTTATTTATGAAAAACAAAAAATAACACATTGCTCTCGTATGTCCATTTCCAGCCAATTACCGAAAAAAATCCATTCATTTTATTTTAAATATCAATATCTTCCACTCCATGTGCCAAAGCTTGTTCATGCAAACATTTGCAATATTCTTCAGCAGCTTCACAGTGATCGTCGGCTACACTTATATCATTTCACGTGCAATGTTCATTTTATCCTCTGATCCTTCCGTATACATTTCAGTATGTTTTAGAGCAACAGATGGAGCAAATTTTCCATTGACATCAATCTTAAAAATAAGTTTGAAATATTAGTGTTATTAATGATAATGTAATTGATATTTAATTTACCACTTCATATTTCTTCATAATACATGCACGCAGACATTTTCCCTCGGCTGTCGAGGCTGATTTTTTACCTATAATCTCTGCAAGATCACCTAAAGAGAAGAAAAGTAAAAACGCTGTGTTTTAATTTGAAGAAGTTTAAAATAAACATTATTTCTTCAAGGAGCCAAGAAATTTTAGAGAAAACAAGTAAAAACATTATGATAATAGAGGTAAGTAACAAATTTGGCCACGAAATTATAACCTGCCTTGGTACGAAGACATAACTCGGTTTTGTTTACATTTTCGTAATGGAAGCCAATTCACAATAATGTATTTTGACAGCAAACTTGAGAAACAGCTGATATTCACCTGGTATCCCTGGATGACCCTATTAATGGGTCTTGCTTCATATCTGAAATTAAATTTTCTCACCATCACTGGCACCAGTTTCCGCCTTGCAAGCTTCCCCTTTGGACATAAATTCCGCAATTAATGCATTTTTATCGATTGCACCACGAACTAAAACCGCACCGACAACACATAGAATTGCGAATGATAGAAAGTATTTGGCCATTTTTATCTAAAATGTTATATTCGATTACTGACTTAAATATAATTGGATGTTTATAGTAAAACGATTCAATTGATACTCAATATATTTTGAAAATTTGGCGACTATTTATGGGAAGTAATCTGTAGGTTTTGATACGTTAAATTATAGGTCACATAAAATAAACTCAAAATTTATATTTTTAATTTGCTATTAGACATAGATCAAAAATTTTAGAATATGCAAAACCCGTTATGAGCTGTAGTAGAATTATTGAAACAGTAATTGAATTCTAATTAGCAACAAATTTAGTTGTTAGTGCAAACATGAATGCAAATAAATAAAATGCATAAAAAATTGATGACGTTTACAAATTTTTGGTTGTTTTACAAATAGAAGACAAATGCTTACTTAGTTGTACTAAATCTACAAAAATTCAAAGTTTGTAACTTGATAGCCTGTTGTCCTAGGCGATCGAACCAAATAGAAGTTACTTGGCAACATTTCTTCGGATCTTCGACATTGGTCAACTCCTTCCCTTCCTTCCTCCCCCACAAATGGCCAACATTTTGAAACATTGTAAATCTTATATATATACAAATTCTATCCAAACTTTGGTTATCGTCATATTTTTACTTTACTTACTTGGGTCAAAAATGGTCAACTACTTCTGGTACCTCTCCCATGGTCAAAATGTTCAAAATTTGTTAATCCAATAACAAAGGTGTGAAATATTCGATTTAATGCCAAATATGCACATCGTAATAATTTTGTCAAACTTAATTAAAGGTGAAAAATGGGACCCACCCGTCCACACCTTTTGGTACCTCCCATACAAAATGGTCAAACTTCTGAGAAAATTAATTCTATAATATCATGCGAACGGATTATTAAAATTTGGCTCCATAAAAAGTGCTGTGAGTGAGGGATAGAGGTCGACCATGGCATAGCC